CACTCACTGTCCAAGAAGGGAACAGAGGTCATCAAAGCAACTGTTACTTGATGCTGTCTCACAGTTGTCACGCCTGCCAGTCCTAGCATCTCCTGAATTCTCCATGGATAACTAGGATATCTGAGAGGAGATTCACCTCCAGCCTGAAGTCTGATGAACCTCATGGAATTGTATAGAATTAAGTGAAAGAATACTAAAATGCACATGTTTAAGTGGACCATGTCTCAGATTTTTGAACCAGTTAAAGATGCAAGAAAATGGGCTAGGGATTTAGCTTAGTGGCTCAAGTGCATCCTAAGCATGAGGTCATAAATTCAATCCCAGGTACCAAAAAAAACAAAAAAAGGCAAGAAAATAACTGGGTATGGTGACTCACACCTATAACTTAGCATTCAGGAGGCCGAAACTGGAGTCTGGGCTACCTAGTGAGTTCAACCTAAACTACATAATGAGACCATGTCTCAAAACAATTAAAATACAAGAAAATAGCAGAAAATTTCCATGAGCCATTAGGTCAGTGGTGGCAAACCTATAGCATGCCTGCCACAGTAGGCTTATTTGTATTATTGAAAGTTTTAAAAGGAAGGCAGAGGACGTTGTTAATAGTGTATCAGGATTTAAAAGTCACAATCTTACCGCTCTGTTTAGTTTGATTTTATTTTGTTCCAGTCTATCTACTCATACTAGGGCACAGACAGCTATCCCAAAAATAGCAGGCTATACTACAGTAACTATCCTTAATTTCCTATTAACTTAAACTGAAGCCCTGTATTACTGACATTGTCTTACCATGACTGATCTTATTTGAAGCTGGTTTGTGAGACCGCTATTTTGCCTTGACTGATTTTATTTGAATTTGGTGTGCTTGATAGTATCAAGTCTAAGAGTAGAGGCAACTACTCTGAAGATGACAAGATGTAAAAGATACCTGTCATGGTTTATGTCTGTGTCCCCCAGGCCTCATGAGTTTGCATTGTGTATTTGTGATGGTTGTCTAGTGCTTGGATTGATAGTGTCAGTGCTCCACCCACACAGAGGTGGAGCCAGGATATGATGTAATGGCAGGAGAAAGGTGTGTCTTGCTCTTTGTTCCTGTTTGTTTTTGTTTGTTTGTTTGTTTGTTTTGTCTTTTTCGTTTTTATGGGTACCAGGGATCGAACTCACGACTGCCTGCTTGCAAGGCAGGTGCTTATGCCGCTGAGCTAAATCCCCAGCCCCTCCAGCCGGTCCCTGTTTGTTGTTTGCAGCAGCCATGAACCTCAGCCCAGCCATGCCTGCCTACCTTGGAGCCAACTGAGTGTGGACTGAAACCTCCAAAAACTTAAGAAATAAACCTTACCTTTCCCAACTTGGGCATCAGGTATTTTGTCTCAGCGACGAGTAAAAAGTAACTAAGACAATACCCATTCCAGTTTGATTATTAACTGCTTTCGAAGTCCTAAAAAAAAAGAAAAAGTTTTGAAAGATTGCCATCATTGTATTAGGAACTTTTTCAAATAGACTAGACTGGTAATCAGAGAGTTTACTATGGTATTTGAGTCTCAGGCATTTGAATATATCTCTCATGATAATCTTAAAAATTAGATGGAGAGGAGCTGGGGATTTAGCTCAGCGGCATAAACGCCTGCCTTGTAAGCAGGCAGTCTCAAGTTCGATCCCTGGTACCTATAAAAAGGAAAAAGACAAAAAAAAAAAAATTAGATGGAGAAACATAACACAATTGGCAAGATTTAACTAATTTTGTTACTGTAGGGATTGTTAATACCTGAAGCTAGTAAGCTGGAAGGAGATATTTGTCTTTATTCCTCTCTTAAATTTGATGAGCATATTTAGAAGCAACTCAAGTGATGACATCTTTAGAATGATCTTTAAAAACCTACTTTTAGTAAAAACTCTAAAGTTTCAATAAACTGAAATTTTAGGCCATAGCTATAAAATGCAAAATCTTAATTCAAATATAAAGAACAGAAGCATATAAGTGAAGGGTGGAGAAAATACAGGAGCAATTAAAAAAGAGCAATTTGAGAGTTTTAATTAAATGTGATTTTGTAAGAGTCCATAGAGTGACTGGCTGACTCAGTAAGAAATGTTTTATTCCTACTACAAGGCAGATGAAGAGGAGAATCTCACTTATGTGTGTTGGTGAGATCAAATGTGAAATATTGCACTTCGTCTGGACACTATCTAATGCTGTTTAAAAAATAATACAACTCCACTGAGGTGGAAATGTAGCTCAGTGGTAGAGCACTTGTCTGCTTGTTCAAGCTCCTGAATTTAATCCCCGTTATTTCAATAAATAAGTAATAAAAATAAGAATATTAAAAAGTTGAATCTTAAATTAAAAAATTTAAACAAACAGTGTGGAGAACAAATTTTACTACATAATTTTCCAGCTTCAAGATTATATGATCCTGGGCCAGGGGTTTAGCTCAGCGGCACAAGTGCCTGCCAGGTAAGTGCAAGGCTATGAGTTTGATCCCTGGTACCAAAAAAACGATTATATGATCATGTAGATGGACACTTACTCTTCAAGGAAGAGAATCCTATTAAGAGAATGTAACATTTGTGTAGTTGATAGCATGTTTGTTTTTTCCTAGTGCTCTTGTAAACCTGATTCTCTTATAAACCTATTGCACTTTCCTTAACACCTTACAAAGATAAGAGGTAAGTTCAGTCAGTTATCCTGAATAAGGGCCAGGGATTTAGCTCAGTGATGTTAGCACCTACCTGGCAAGCGCAAGGTCATGAGTTTCACCCCTGGTACCAAAAATAAGAAAAGAAAAAGAAATATAAAGAGTTATCCTGAATAATAGGTATATTTCTGCGTCATCTATAACAAGTGAAGTTGATTTTTGTTCCCTTCCCTACTTCCAACTAAATAAATTGTTATTGGTATCTTCCATTATAACTGGTCATTGCTTTTGAAAATATATTGTAGCCTCAGCCTATTCATGGTTCAGGGTAGTAATTACTCTGAAACTTTATGTAGAGATTGGGATGTGACATTCATCCTTTTTTTCTAGTTGAGAGCTTGGTTTCTTTTTAGCCTTACATTATACAGTCCAGGACTTTTCCTGTTTTTTCACTTTGGTTACAGAAAGAGAATTATTACATGAGAAAAAATTAGGAAAGCATTTGTAAACATAAGGGATTACACAAATATAAGGTGATATGATTTCATATTGTAGCTATGTGTACCTTGGCCTGGAATAGATTTGTGCCAGTCAGCTTCTGCTGATTGTAACAGTAGCTCAGCGGTCACATGGATGTCTTGTTAATTATCTAGTACATACCTGACGAGAGAGTTTCTTTCCTCACCCCATGGGTTCCTTATCTATTTTATCCTTGCTGTGTTTCTATGCATCAAATTTGTTGAGAGGATTAACGCTGTCCATCACCTTTGTCTTCCCTTAACTTCACCTTTCCTTCCTTTTTGGTGTGACTTGACTTCGCAGAAGAACCTTTCCTGTATATTAGGTCCCAGGTCCCCTGAACTGAATTACCATTAACCATTTTAACCCCTTTCTTTCTCATGGGGTCAAGGTCATCCCATCTTGAAGAAGTTTCTTTCTACCTATTATCTTTCTCTGTTATCTCAGAACTTTTTAAGGAAATGAGACCTACAGCTGACATAAAATTTTCTTTCAATGAAGGGCGGTATGATATAATACAAGAACACAGGCTAAAGTTTTGCAAGATAATTTTAGATTGTGGTAAATGCTTTGAGGGAAATAGTATAATGTGAGAGAGTAACTAGAGAGAGGAGGTTTCTTCAGGTGTGTAGTAATTTGAAACAAAAATTATGTCCAGAAGTTTCAAAATCTTGACGACTAGAAAAATGATAAAGTTTAAATGAAGATAAGAAAGCATAAATAATCTCAGTTATTTGTAAATGTTCTGTTTTTAACAGTACTCATTACATGATTTTGATTGTGTTTAGATTTTAAATTCTTTTTTAAGGAAGAACATTATTTCTTAATAGTCATGTTAGATTTCATAGTCTCAGGGCTGGGGATTTAGCTCAGTGGCATAAGTGCCTGCTTTGCAAGCACATGGTCATGAGTTCAATCCCCAGGACTGATTAAAAAAAAAAAATTTTCATAGTCTCCTATATCTGTTTTTTTCAGTATTAAATGAAAAATAATCTGACTAAGACATTATATGCATCTTACTATAGTTGATTCAACAGACATGCATTAAATTAACATACTCGCCTAACCCTGGCAGGCAATGGAGATAAATAAAATGGTCCTTTCCTTCAGTGAACACAAGTAAAGCAATTTTTAGGGCATAACATAGATGGTTTACATTTATGAATGACTTTAAAATAAGTCTACTGTGACCATTATAGAGCAAGTTTGTGTCTCACTTGTTTTAATACAATATTTTAAGGATATATATCCTACCCTCTTTTAAATAGTTGTAATTTACCAGACATATTCTAGTAGAGTTTAAATAGAAAGTGAACATATGAGTGAAGCTGTTATTATAATTGTTACATGAGTTGAAAGGTAAAGATTAATTTCATCGAATAAAAGTTTTTAGAAAGATGAATTTCAGTAGGGTTAGTCATGGGAAAGTTTCGCTCAGGTGAGAACTGGTGTTCCATCTAAACAGATAGATGGTAGACAGTGAAAAGAGCTGGCTTGGAATGATGGTGTAGGAGGGATGTGCTAGATGGAGGTCAGGTTTGTGTCAAGCCATATTTCCAGGACATGAATAAATAGGTTTGACTAGAGTGAAAGGTTTGTATTTGGAACTAGTAAAATGTAAAAGCAGAGTATTAATAGAAAACAAAATTTTTGGCTGTACGTAGTAATGTTTCTACAATCCTAAATTCATTTACAGTCAAGTTTTATATCATGTACAACATCACAATGTGCACATTTAAATTGTACCATGATTCTAAATAAGTCTTTTTGCCCCTAAATATGTTTTATAAATTTTAGGGCCAGAGTCCTTTATTCTCTACTCAGGTACAATAATCTTTTGTTTTTCAGTTACTTACACGCCAAGTCAATCATCCACAGAGACCTCAAGAGTAATAGTATCCTTCCTGAAATTTGTCTGCGAAGTTTGAAAACATCCTGACTTTCTCTTCTGCATTTTTTCTTCACATTATGTAGTTTTCATGTTAAGTTCAATATACTGTAAAGAAAAGTAACGATCATTTTGCGTGGAAGTGTAGTAAAGCAGATGTAACAGCCTGCTTTTGATTTCTGAATGAGCGCTACAAAAACAATCTATTAATAGTAGGGTTTTTCTGATTGCTTGCTCATTCTCCCTGAACTGTAAAATGGATGAGTTTTGTAGCTACCTTCTAGTTTAACAGTGAGGTGAAAAAATAATTTTTATCCTTCCCAATGCCCAGACTAAGATCCTATCTGCTGGGTCTCTGTTCCTGTGAAGCGCCTTTATAGTTTTCCCAGCAGTGTAGAAGGGCTACTTGGGCCTGCATGACCAAAATCAGATGGAAGAGTTTTCAGATCTCCTGTAGGCATAGGAAAGCATCTCACCTCATCCTCAATCTTAAGCCTGAAAAATCTTAAAAGCAGGTTATATAGGTTAAATACAGCTACTTCCTGCTTAACACATACTTATTGACCTCGGGAAATACAGACCACTATATTTTAAAACATGTCATATTGTAGACTTATAGAAACTAGATCTTGTACCTAAAATCTTCCTAATGCTTGCTCTAACAGGAAAATGAGATACGTTGTTTTCCTTTTACTCACTGTGCCTCAGATATATTTCTTCACGAAGACCTCACGGTTAAAATAGGTGATTTTGGTCTAGCCACAGTGAAATCTCGATGGAGTGGGTCCCATCAGTTTGAACAGTTGTCTGGATCCATTTTGTGGATGGTAAGAACTGAGGCTGTTTCTCCATAGATTACATTTTTTTGACCCTGAAATGTTGCTGAGTTAACTTTACAGTATTTTCATAGCTTTCAGTATTCACAAAAAGTCAATGTTATTCTTATGTAAATAGTTTTAACCTTTTTATCTTTAAAAAGAATATTACAGACTTAATTTCAGTGTATTTCAAGTAAAAATACATGTTTAATAAATGGTATTTAAATTCTGCTTAAAAGTCTGTTTAAAAGTATTTTGTGATCAAAATGTGTGCCCTGGGATTAAAAGAAAAAGGCTTTACAATTTAAGGAAGGTGTAACCTACAGCCATTATCCTGGTTTTGCTAAAAGAACTATTCCTTGTAACAAAAAGGGTATTGCACAGTCTTATTAATGAAGCAAAAATTGAAAAGTTACTTCCTTCAGGTTAGAATGAACCTTATAACTGTGGGGCAGCTGGAAGAGGAAAGAAGCAAGAAAAAAAGATTTTAGCAGTGTCTTCCTTGTGCTGTCTTGTATAGCTCTTCTTTTTCTTTATTCCTATTTCTACTTAGTGGAAAGAAGACAGAGAAGTTCTAGAAGAACAGAACTAAAACTTCTGCAGGTTACTGCAGGAAACCACTGAAAAGTCAACTGTAGGAATCATTTGTAAACCACTGTCTCTCAAAGGGTCTATAAGACCTTTGAGGGGGCCCCCAAGGCCTTCTTGTGAGACGAGATGTTCTTCATATCCTTCAATCAAAACATACATCGAATTGCAGAAGCAAATAAGAGAATCTTATCTGGCTGCTGTCAAGCCAGACATTAACAGAATCACAGTTCTGTTCTCACTAAACTTTGGGGTTTTTTTGTTTGTTTTTTGTTTTGTTTTTGTCTTTTTCTTTTTTATGGGTACTAGGGATCGAACTCACGACTGCCTGCTTGCAAGGCAGGTGCTTATGCCGCTGAGCTAAATCCCCAGCCCCTAAACTTTGTTTTTAAAATTTAGCATTTTTTTAATTAAAAAAATGTTTTGTGTTAACATTTAATGATTGTTGTTTTAATATTTAAGTGGGTGACTAAATATTTTAACAGTTTTTAAGTTTAAAATGCTAAATACCCACAGGTAGAATCCATATTGGCAAAAGCTTTATAGGGTCTTCAGTAATTTTTTTTTTTTTTTTTTTTTTTTTGTCTTTTTCCTTTTTATTGGTACCAGGGATCGAACTCATGACTGCCTGTTTGCAAGGCAGGCGCTTAGCCACTGAGCTAAATCCCCAGCCTCCGGTCTTCAGTAATTTTTAAGAATAAAAAGTCGTGGGCCAGGGCTTTAGCTCAGTGGCATAAGCTCTTGCCTGACAAGCACAAGGTCATGAATTTGATCCCTGGTACCCCCCCCCCAAAAAAAAAAGTCCTGAGACCAAACAATTTCAAAACCACAGCTCCAAGCTGAACATAATTATCCCAAAAATCTTAATACAGTTTCAAGATCTAAATAAACTAATCTACACTTAAGACTTTTGGAACACCTACATAGAAAAGTTGCAAGGGCTTTCAAAGTCATTTTGGCTGCAGCCCTGAAATGTATAGAGTAGTCCCCAACAAGAGAATTCCAAGGTATAATTCTGAGTTGTTCACCATAAGCCTATGATTAAAGTGAGCTACAATTTCTCATGAGCATAAATGGAATTGGGTGGAAAAGTGATAGAGAAGATACTAGATTTAGGAGATCTATAGTAGTACTCTACTAACAGTTCCTTAATCGCCTCTAAGTCTCCCCACATTGAAACTGCTAGGTTGGACGAGTGGGTTTTAATGCCCTTTCTAAGATTCAGTAATTATAAGTAGCTATGTTATTTTTTAATCTTTAGTATGTGTTTAACTTTTAATTGATAATTATAAAAAAGCTAATTAATGGTTATAATCTGGACCCCCAAGCTCCCTGAAAGCACACTAGTATAACAAAGATGGCAGCCTACCCTAAGAGGATAGGGCAAAAATGGACTTTTAAGTGCTGAGATTGCAGAGCTTCTAGTTAATACAGATAAATCATTCACATATTTTAAGAGTGTGTTTGTTTTAACTAGTATGGGAGGTGAGCCCAATCAAGTCTCTGTCCTTTTTTAGAAACTTTACATTATACAGTTTAGGATGTTATCATAAGGGAAGTTCTGTATTTTCTCCTAGCTACTTACTTGTTAATAGTGGGATAGAGGAGTTCATGCTTATCATGCAGAGATGAGAAAATAGCCAATATACTTTCCTTCCTGGGAATAATGGTGCATACTTGAAATCCCATCTACTTGGGAGACTACAGCAGGAAGATCTCAAGTTTCAGACCAGCCTGGGCAATTTAGATCCTGTGTCTCTTTATTTTTTAAATAAAATTAAAAGAGTTGAGGATTTAGCTCAGTGTTAGAGCACCCCTGGATTCAACCCCCAGTACTACCACAAAAAAAAATCCTGATTTATATTCTGTCCTTTACTGGGCATGGTGGCATATGCCCCTGTAATCCTAGCACTTGGGAACCTGAGGCTGGAGGATCACCATGAGTTCAAGGCCAGTCAGGGTTACATAGCAAGTTCAGGGCCAACCTGAACTAGATAGTGAGACCCCATCTCAAATATATATATATATATACACATATTTACTGTGCCTTACAAAAATTGGTTCAAGTGTTAAAAATGATGTCTTTATCATAATCAGCCTCCTATTATTCTACTGTCTTACTAAAAGTAACTATCAACAAAATACATGACAAACACAAGTGGACACAATCTTCGCCACCAACAACCTTTGGACTGTCTTCAGAATATGCCATAGTATTGTTTAGTTCACATCCCTCTTCATAACATTGTGCTGCTGACCTAGGTGCAATCTGAGCACTGAGAGGTTTAAAGACTCCACATATGTATGATTCAGACTTGGAGCTGTGGTTGTATGCCATTATCTTTATCCATGAGAGGTGCCCACCTTACCTAGACTACCAGTACCTTGTTCTGTCCTGCAGCCATTTTTGCAGTTTGTAGAGATTTTGCTATTGATATTTTCACAAAGTTTCCACTAATATCCTTGCAGTTTCTTCAGTTCCTTCCAAATGAAACAGTACAGGGAGATATTAGATGAAAGATGAAATCTTAAGCTAATTATTAACTAGTCATTTGTTGTTTTTCGTGCACACCTGTAATGCTAGCACTCTGGGAGACTGAGCCCGGAGATACGCAAGTTCAAGCAACTTATCAAGACCCTGTTTCGAAACAAAAATTTTAGAAGTACTGGGGCTGTATCAGAGTGAAAGCCTTGGGTTCAACCCTGTACTGGGAAAAAACAAAACAAAACCTAGCTGTGCAGTGTGGCGACTGAACTGTATAAAAGTGTGGCAGATGTGAGTTAGTCTATTTCTTTGTACAAAAACCAGCAACCAAAAAATCATTTAAACCATCCATCTTCTACTAAATCTACCTGCTATTGCTTTTATTCTTAAAGCATCCATGGCCTGTTTATACCACATATTTTTTCCATGGTTTGAAAGGAGATGAGTTTATTATCCTTACAATTCTACTGTTATTTTCCAAGGTGCCCTGTTATTGTCTAATATTTTGTACCAATAGAAAAACAAGTTTTAAGCCAATTACTGTAGTAGTTGTGCCTGCTCCCAAGCCTCTTGTCATAGATCTAGCATTTCTTTGCTGAACTGGGAAGTAGGAACTGACTCAGAGGGTAAGGCATGGGAAGAATTCAAATGACAGTGACAAGTATTTGTTCATAAAGAGAGTGACTGATAAAATTATAAAATCTCAGTGATGCATTTTGGAGTCTCAGTCCAAACACCATCTTTTAGAGTTCATAATGGGCTTTATTTGGCCATTAATAGAAATAATTATGTAATAGATTTTTAATGATTAAACATTGCTCTGGGAATTATAGTTTGTATTTTCAATCTTTATTCAGTTGAAGTGAAGAATAAACTAAAATATTTTTCTTCTTATGTTCTCACAGGCACCAGAAGTAATCAGAATGCAAGATAAAAACCCATACAGTTTTCAGTCCGATGTATATGCATTTGGGATTGTTCTATATGAATTGATGACTGGGCAGTTACCCTATTCAAATATCAACAACAGGGACCAGGTACATTTTTACCAGCTTTGAGGATTTATTTTCTATTAGTATAAAGAGTCAAATTAATTGCAGAGCGAAAATATTGAGTTGAGTCCCAGGTAAATATGAAAGATAAAGCTCTGATCTTTGTGACTACGTTTAGAAGTCTTTTGTGTACTCTTAGCAGTAATAGCAGTATGTAAGGTCTTTGAAATGTTACAATACAATGAAATTCTTGATATTGTAACTAACAACTAGAGATCCATAATGAATAATGCCTCAAATTTCTTGATCATAGCACAGTCAAACTAAAGAGCTATGGTACTACAGCCCCAGGGCTTTAACCCTTGTGCTGTATCTTGGACTGTACTGTTAGAGCATATACTTGGCTCTGTTTTTTTTGTTTGTTTGTTTTGTTTTTCCTTTTTTCTTTTTAGTTAAGAGTAGGAAATATTTATTGAGAGAAAGATAGTTTCTGTCTAAGAGAGATAGAAGGAAACCCAGAAAGTGGGTTCCCCTTGACTATGTTCCTCTTTATGGAAAATTCTTTTAAAATTATTGCTGGGCATGGTAGATCACTGCTATAATCTTAGCACTCAGAAGGCTGAGGCGGGAGGATTACCATAAGCCCAAGGTCAGCCTGAACTACGTAATGAGGTCTTGTCTCAAAAAATAATAATAGTAAAATAAAATAAAAAATATTAAGCTTTTTAAATTTTTCAAAACCACAAAAGGACTGTTATGTCATGTTATAGTAAAAAGGGAATATTTTTTCTTTTTCCTTCCTGTTACTATTTTTTGTGTCTTTTGTATTCTAAATGATACCAGTATACTGTCATGCAGCTGCCTTTCTTTTCTATTTTTCACAATAAATTTACTGGGCTGGGGATTTGGCTCACTGGCACCAGCGTCTACCTGGCAAGCGCAAGTCATGAGTTTGATCCCTGGTACCAAAAAAAGAAAAACAACCTCACAATAAATTTATTTAGGCTTTTAAAACTGGCCAAGGAGGGGCTGGGAATTTAGGTCAGCTGCATAAGTTTTCACAGTTTGGAACAATGTAGATTCCATGTGGGTAAAAGGTGAATCTTATAAAGAACAAGGACAATTATCATAGGGAAGAGTGGAGAGGACAGTAAGCTTTATACTTCAGGCATATCTATCTTTTCAACAGGAGATACAGGTAAAGCTACTGTGGGTGTATAACTCTGGGAGAGTCTTTGTGTAAAACTAGACATAGCTAGTTTGAAGGCAGCAGGTGTCTGACAGCACTTATCAATGAGAAAAAATTTGCTATTGGCCTTGACACATTAAAAACCTCTTGTGTCCAGATCATGTTAAATACTGAGGCAGAAGTGGTTTGGAAGAAATAAATATACTATATGAGACACAGTTTTTGCCCTCAAGGATTGAAAGTCTCAGTGGGGAACTTAGGTTAGTCACAAAACGATTAATAACCACATAAAGCAGTAAATGATCATCACAGCTGTCAGTGGATCACATCTAGGTGTGAAAGGAACAGCATGATGACAAGGATAGAGTTCAAGAAGCCCTTGGTACCTCTGGATTTCTGATGGCTAGGGAAGAGAGTAAGGGTACTGTAGGCACTGCAGCAGCCTTATGAATATGGTCAAAAGCAGATTCATACTAAGTTCTTCTCCCAATTTCTTTTTGTTACTTAACTGGATAAGTTTCTTGGGCAAGTTCCTAGACTTGTTTAAGCTTTGGATTCCTAGTCTATAAAATGGAATTAATACCTATCTTATAGAATTAGTCTGAGTATTAGATTAGATTACATCTATAATTCAAATGTTTCAAAGTTTTGTAGCCTTCCAGAGCTGCCTTTCCTTTTTTTTTTTTTTTTTTTCTTTTTTTGTCGATACCAGGGATCGAACTCATGACTGCCTGCTTGCAAGGCAGGTGCTTTATGCCGCTGAGCTAAATCCCCAGCCCCCAGAGCTGCCTTTTCGATTGGTATCCAAGTATACATATCTGAAATGCTGGCCTATATGAATAGATTGTGAACCTTGCCTTTCAACTTTGAAGACCCCTCCTGTGCTTTGTATTTTTCTGGTCCTTGTTACCCACTGCTCCGTGGTATTATTTCAGGTTGCTCCTAGAATTCTGAGAATGCTTTCTCCAACAAAATCATGATATTATGATTGCCTGACTTCAAAAGGGAGCAGTATGGGGAAAAAAAACCTGTACTTTACTGGTATCTCTTTTCAACCTTCATTCTTTTAGCCTGTATCACAGCTCTGTTATGGGCTCATAGTTAAACAAATCATTAAAGCATCAAAAGGATATAACATAAGATGCTAAATGTGACTTTCTAAAATTCATCAGCACTGTGCAGAATGAGGATCCCATACTGGCTTTCTCCACCATGCTACCTAGTATGCTGCTCTTGGACCTGGGCCCTTTAAGATCAAAACTCCCTCTTATCGAACCAGGACTCCTGTCATCTGTCTTTCCTACCCTCAGAAGAACCAAAAAGTAGAAAGTTGAGAGATTAGAAAACTTAGCTGGGGATGGTAATACGTACCTGTAACCCCAATACTGTTAAGAAACTAAAGTAAGGGCCAGGGATTTAGCTCAGCGATGTAAGCACTGGCCTGACAAGAGCAAGGTCATGAGTACCAAAAAAAGAAGAAAAAGAAGAAGAAAAACTGAAGCAGGAGGATCACAAATTCAAGTCCAGCCTGGCCACTTAGTGACTTAGCAAGACCCTGTCTCAAAATAAAAAATAAATGGTTGGTGCTAAATATAGTTCAGTGCAGAGGTCTCTTCAGTGCAGAGGTCCCTGGTTCAATCCCCAGTACCACATAGAAGAAAAAAATTAGAAAACGTAATTGTCTAGGTAAGACTTAAGTCTTTTTATTTCCTTAAGCAGGAGATTTTAGCTCAACAGCTTCCTTTTCTCTCTAAAAGAGGCTGTGGTCCCCACACTATGACAAATGCCTCGCTAGAGTTTCCCAGAACTTAGAATATAGATGACTGCTGAAAAGATTAATTTTTTTGGTTGCTGCTGCACATCTTTAAAAGATTTACCACAATAGCCAACAACCTGCCCGAAAAATACGTTTAATAAACTTTTTTTTGAAGGAAATAAGCAGTGTCAGATCTATGTGTTACAGAAGTTACCCCTTCAGTGGGGACCTAGAGTGGACAAGGAGAGACTGGAGCCACAGGGAGCAAGTTACCAAGGCTTTGATGCAGTCATGGGTCATGAAGCTTTGAGCTTGTAGCCCATTAGATATTGGTTCCACACTCAGATATATAAGAATCCTAGTACTCATGTTATTGGTTTTTATTTTAACTTTTTTTTTTCAAATATTCCATGGATCTCAAATTTTTTTTTTAACTTTCATCCAAGTGTAATGTACCCATATAAAAGTACAAATGTCATAAACATACAGCTTGTTGAATTTTCATTGTTTATGTATTTTAATTTGTGTAGAAGGTTGCATGATGTGGCTTTTTTTCTTCCCTCTAGATAATTTTTATGGTGGGACGAGGATATCTATCTCCAGATCTCAGCAAGGTACGGAGTAACTGTCCAAAAGCCATGAAGAGGTTAATGGCGGAGTGCCTCAAAAAGAAAAGAGATGAGAGACCACTCTTTCCCCAAGTAAGAAAAAGTGTTTGCTACCTAAAAAATAGACCTAATATTCAGAGGTAGATTTGTGAGCACTTTTGGGGTACATACTCTGTATTTCATAGTTTCGAATTCCATGTGATATGTACAGACTCAGATAAATAACCATAAGGTGATGACTTCATAAAAGTTGAGCAGAAATTTGGAACCCCAGGACAAAATATTCATAAGGACTTCACATTTGTCCATATTTTTTAGTCTTAGAATCCTTTTCTTTTTTACACATTTAAAAATTATTAAAGATTCCCCCAAAGAGCTTTCGTTTATGTAAGTAATCTTTTCCAAACCAAAAAAATTAGAAGTGGACATTATTTTACATTTTTCCAGTGTTTTTATAAAAAGATAGCTAGATTCTCTTTTACATTCATTATACTTGTGATATCTCATGTTGTCTCTGAAAATTCCACTTACACTTATAAAATAATGACAGCAAAAAGGCAAATAATATCTTGTTGTTAGTAGTTTTAACCGGCATGCCTTCTAGAGGTCCACAAACCATACGTTGCCAACTGCTGCTTTAATTCTTCTTGATGGTAAAATTAAATAGCTAAGCTCTTTCTTTTTGTCATTGTTTTGTTTTGTTTGTTTCTGTTTTCTGAAACAGGGTCTAACAATATAGTCCAGGCTGGCCTTGCACTCACAGTGATCCTCCTACCTCAGCCTCCCAAGTGCTGGGATTACAGGTGTATACCATCACACCTGGCCATGCTATGTCTTTTTGAGAGAGAGTCCCACCAGGCACAGAATGATAATTATTGGTGCCATCTGCCTCCAGTTATCTTAATTTCCCATTGCTTTTTTTTTTTTATCTTTTCATATCATCAGGCTGAAAGCCCTTCCATTAATACTCTTTAATAAGCCTCACAAAGAGCTGGTCTGGTGGGTACCAATTGCCTATAGTCCTAACTACCAAGGAGGCAGCCAACAGGAAGATCACCTGAGGCCAAGAGTTGAAGGCCAGCCTAGATGACATAGCAAGACCCTCCCCACCCCTCTCAAAAGTGAAGCAAAGAAAAAAGAAAGAAAGTGGCCTCACAGGGGTCTGACACTAAATAATCTGAAAAAACTTAGAGAGCTTAGCTGTAGTATATAAGTGCAGGTTTCTGATCATTCAGAATTTCCTGATAGCATTATATGAATATACCTCAATGAATCTATAGTTTCTTATGGGAAATGCTGGCTCTCATAGTCTGTCACGATAGTTACTAAGAAGTGCCTTCATCAACCTATACGCTTTTGAATACTCAGACTGCCCTGGTTTCTCAGTGCAAGTCACTGCTAGAGAAACTAGAGTCGTTCATCATTTGTTTTTATCCAAAAATTTTACATCTGTAAAAAACTTAAAAAGTTAGAATTGATGGCTTTAACTAATGTCAACAGCTGCCTCAAAGAGAAAAGGGAGAGTGGTTGGGTCGGTATGTTTTACACACAGGATTCTGTTACCACTACTCTGAGGAAGAGTTTTGGTATTTTCTTTGGTTTGTTTTATTTTTTGACAAAAGACACACTGGTCTTGACACCATTGAAGTGAAAAACTAGTATTGTTGACCAGTGTCAGTAAACTCCAGTACATGTTCTCTTTGCACATCCCAGGTGCTAGTGCTTCTTATTTAAAGGGGCAATGTTTAAATGTAATATTTAATTCACCCCATGCTATCAAAGAATGAAATGCATTTATGAATTCCCAGATTAATGTAAGCTACCTCTTGTAAGGACTATATATTTTCATTACAAGTTATCTTTTCTATCATACAATTAAAGGCCACAGAAATCTTTTTTTTTTTTTTTTTTTGTACCAAGAAGCAAACTCACAACTTTGCGCTTGCCAGGCAGGCACTGTGCCGCTGAGCTATACACCTGGCACCACATAAATTTTCAATGGCTAAAGATCTATGACAGACAACTATGAAATATGAAATCATTTTTATATAGTGTTGAAGGAGAAAAAGCTTTGCTAAACAAGAGACAAAATTCAGAAGTTACAAAATTTAATGTAGTATACGTGACTACATTAAATTGTTTAAAATTCTACATAGTAAAAAATAATACTGCAAGTTGAACAAGAAAGAAAAATAATTATAGCATATATAACAAAGGCAAAAATTTGGAGTATACAACGGGCTCCTATAGATGAATAATTAGAGGATATTCCATGTAAAATAAGCAAAGGATATGCACAAGTCATGCACAAGAAATGCAAATGGTAAATGAACTTAGGAAAAGACAAAGTTTTCAGTAACAGACAGTGTTACCAGAGGCTCAGGCCAGAGGCCTGACTGGGTGGGTGGATGGGGTTTCCAGCAGACCAGATTCAGGCCCTGGCTGGTCAGTTCAATCAAAGAGATCAGTGCTGATGAGGCCAGAAAGGAGTCCATCCAGTTTGGCCACACTGGGCAAGAAGAGGAGACCACTGACCTAAGCCCCGTATTCAGGGTATTGACAGGAGCTTCAAGATTATGTAGAGAATGACTGAAGTGGAGGCCAAGAAGTATGCAAGCAAAACAGACTTGATTTAACTGTGGTCTGGGTGATCATTGTCTCAGGTCTGGTTCTGTAAGGGTCTAGCACCCAGGAAACCTTCGTTGCTGGAGCAGCAATTCAATCACTGTCATGAAATGATCTGTCTGCATGGTTTGCTCTTCTGGAACCTGAGATAAACAGAGAAGTGACTCAGAGAGAACAGCCTCAGAGAGGTACAAAATGGAGTCAGGACAATGGGTCCTCCTTTAAATCCCCACTTTTAAAAGACCCTGTGCCCCTCATTGAAGTCAGGCATGATGGTGTACATTTGTAATCCCAGTACTCAAGAGACTGAGGCAGGAAGATTGCTGTGAGTTTGAGGCCAGCCTGGACTCCATAGTGAGTTCAAGGCCAGCCTGAACTATGTAGCAAGACCCTGTCTCAACAAAATAAAATACTCCTAAAAACTATGTTCAGAACTTACTTCTGTAAGTACTCAGATGTATACAAGAAGGTTTACCATCATAGGAAAAATTTAAAACAAAGATTATGGTAGCTCTGTATGAATGACATGAGTATAAGTGAGGGAAAAAGAAAACAATGGGAGAACTACAGAGTCTGACGCTGCTGTAAACGATGGTGAAGGCGGGCTGTGTTTTCATGTGTTTTTATGTAGGGGAAAGATGCAGAGGGAAGTATGGACCCTGTCAGGAGCTGCCCCTGGAGGGTGGGATTAAAAACCTTATACTTTTTCCATCTCTGTACTACTAATATGTTTATTTGCAAGTTATTCTTGGAACTTAAAATTTTTCCCTTCTTATACTAATCTTCATAAGATCACAGGTAAATTAAAAATAGTTTTGGTAGCTCAGGCTCATCATCATCATCGTAAAGCCAGCTCCTAAAAGTTGGACTACTTACATGTGCCAACTCCTTATATATGTCTCTTGACTGAAAAAATGCATTCTTCAAAGGTCATAGCCCATTTCTTTGCACCTTAAAATACTGGGTATGAATTTTGACATTTTGTGGGTTGGTGTCTTTTTGTAGAATTTCCCTGTCCTTGCCTTTGGGTCATCACCTGGTCCTTCTTATTCATGTGCTGCTAGCAGGCTAAATCAGTAGGTCAGACTTTTGGCTCTGTACATAAGACATTTCCATTGCTGAGTTTCTTTAAAGGCTGAGTTCCTCAGCTGGTTCTGGTTTGACAGTCATGTGGCGCTTTACTTCCTTACACTCCATCTTCCTGCCAAAGGGACTTGCAGTCTGTGCCAAGAGGTATATCATCGGTCTTGAATTTGTATTATTTTTTGTTCCAAGGCTGGCAAGTGATCTACAAGATAAAAACTAACTCTGAGTCACTTTGCCCATTTAGTTTACAGAAATAAATTGTAGTATTGTGGTAGGTTTTTCTTTTTTTTTTTTTTTTTTCTTTTTTTTTTTAATGGAAGAATACCAGTTTCTGTTTTTCTAGGCATTTGTAATACTGAAAACAATGTAAGATATCAGGTGCTTTCTTGTAAAGTATAATGGACTCTTAAGATTTACACCACCCAAATTTTCATTCTGCTTTCTGTTTTTTCTTTCTTTCTTTTTTTTTTTTTATTTTGTTTTGTTTTGTTTTCTTTTTTTCGTAGATTCTCGCCTCTATTGAGCTGCTGGCCCGCTCATTGCCAAAAATTCACCGCAGTGCATCAGAACCCTCCTTGAATCGGGCTGGTTTCCAAACAGAGGATTTTAGTCTCTATGCTTGTGCTTCTCCAAAAACACCCATCCAGGCAGGGGGATATGGTGCGTTTCCTGTCCACTGATGCAAATTAAATGAGTGAGAAATAAAGGAGGGTAGCAACAAAAGGAAAATAAATGAACATGTTTGCTTATATGTTAAATAGGATATTTTTAAAAAGTGAATCAAAAAACACTTGTGTGTTTAAAGACTAGGTATTTTTCTCAACCTAAAATTAATAGCTAACATTGGATCTTCAGTACCTATGAGTTAAAACACAAACATTGCTAAAAACTGGCAGTGCCCGTTCCAGAGACTGTACTTCCAGGACCAAGTTTATTCCATTCACCTGGTCATTCCAATTAAACTTCAGTTTCCTCTTTCAGTTTGCTCATGCAGCTTTTGTTACAAGCTTTCACTCATCACTAGGGACTCCTAAGGAAGACCACTCCTCTGCATATGCCTAGGTGGAAAACTGGTGTAGTTAGCTTGCCTTACTACAGGAGAGCAAGCAGATCCAGTGCAGGGGGTCCCTAGAACTGAGTAATCGTATTGATTTGATGACTGTTTTATTTTACTACAGTTTAGAAAATGTGGACATCCTTTATTTCCTAGAAACAACAGACTAAATAGCTTTTAGTAAATGTTGGGTGCAAATGACCAGAGATACAGCTGAAAGAGTGGCATGTTTGACATGAACAAAGTCATTTTGCTTTTGATTTTTAGTGGTAAAATGTTATAAATTGGAGTTCTTTTTGTATAATACTTCTTTACAATGTCTTATACCTATAGAGGTCAAGTTTTCCTGCAAATGTGTTGCCCCATTATACCTCCCTTCTCCCCCACAAAGTAGAATCTATGAGAATTTGTTCATTTTTCTTTTAGATTGATTCTGGTTGCCAAGCAACCAGGTAGTGAATTTTTAAGTTATTACTTTAGATGATACTTGTGATGCACATTATAATAGTCACCTTAATATGTCTCCTAAAATTTCTGTCTTTTGTATTCCTTGTCCAGCAAGATTCAGCTCATGCTGAATGTTTACTATTCTTTTTTGCATTCCACATTATGAAGTAGTTCTAACATTTTCTTTTGTAAAAAATGATGCGGCAAGGGGCTGGGGATTTAGCTCAGTGGCATAAGTGCTTGCCTTGCAAACAGGCAGTCGTGAGTTCGATCCCCGGTACCGATAAAAAGGAAAAAGACAAAAAAAAAAAAAAAGCAAAAAATGATGCCACAGTTATACAGAACATTCCTTAATTGTGAGTCAAAGAGAACCAAAAAGCAGGGAAGCAGGATTGTGGCCTTTTCAACAACACAGCCATCTCTGCTTCAGCTTAAGGACCAAAGCCAGCCTGCTTTGTCTGTTTACTTACTCAAATTAGATTCGTGGTGATTCTCAGATAACAGCCAACAGCTGAAAGTTACCTTAGCAGAAGACAGTATCTGTATACATGCCATCCTTCTTTGAAGTCAGTAAGGAAAAAAATTAAGATAACTTTTAAAACACTTATATTTCATCAGGGAAATCACTCAGTAATAATTATAGCATACTTTCGCCCCTTATTTGTATAGTTTAAGGTAAGCAGTGCCATCATGAATCATATATTGATTCACGAATTTTAACATAGTGAAAAAAAATCCACTTCTCATTTTTTAAAAACAAGAATAAGAAAAAGACAATATGTTAGCTGGGCACAGTGGCACTTGAAAATAAAAAAAAAAAATAATAAAAAGGGCTTGGACTGTATTGCAGTAGTTAGAGTGCTTGCCTGGCATTCACAAGGTGCTCACTTCAATCTCCAAAACAACCACCAAAAAATAAATAAATTACATTTTGAAAAACATCGAAGTTCATGATTTCTAAAACCTCCAGTGACACACAAAGACGTGCATGTTAGTAATTAATAGGTAGAGTTGTATTATTTGCAGACAGAATAGCAATAATGTTTACAAAATTCACTTGGTCTATAGGATGCACAAATGGTTTCAGCATTTTGAGAACATATGCAAAGGAATTTATTATTTTCTTTCTGGAAGTGTTGGGGATTAAATCCAGAGCCTCACACTTCAAAGGCTCTTTTTCAAGAGTAGAACCCAAGTCCACGTCACTTGTAGGTTCCTTTCATTGTTCCTGTCTTTCTGCCTGACACTGGTTCAGTTCCACACCGTCTACATTTGAATCTTGCCCTTCTTTTTTTTTGAGACAGGGTCTCACTATGCAGTTCAGGCCAATCTTGAGCTCACTTTGTAGCCCAGGTTGATCTCAAACTCGGAACAATCCTCCTGCCCCAGCCTCCCGAATGCTGGGATTGCAGGCATGAGCCACCACACCCGGCACGAATCTTGCCCTTCTTTACCAGTCACTTTGCCAGAAACATTACTAAACTGTCAAGCTGCTTAGAAAACTCATTGTGCCATCTCATCAACACCAGACCATGCCTCTAAGAGTTGCCTAGTAACGGAGTCTCCTTTCTAGAGTTGGCCCACTGCTAACACTAGTGAAAAAAATATTAAAAACATGACAGATGAATTGTTTATGTAACAAGGGTCCAGAGAAGTATGAAACATTAGAATTACAGAATTAAACCAGGTTCCCTTTCTATTTGTCATTGTTGCTGCTGTTCTTACTGTTTTTGTTTCATAGTGATCTAGAAACACAAAAACATAATTTTTCCTAACCATTTCTTTCTAAAAACCTGAGACTTCATGTATTTTTTAAAATTAAAATTTATTTCCTTCAGGAGGCAATCTTTTTATAAAACTTGTAAAAGTTTTAAGAATCAGTGATAAAGCATAAAATTTGTCTTCATTTAAGTCATTTAGGGGTCTGAGGATGTAGCTTAGTGGTAGAGCTCTGTTTCTTATACCCAACACTTGGATTCCATCCCCAGCACCACCAAAACAAAAAGAGGAAATAGTTTGGGGATCACAAGATTTAATTAAATGTTTCACTCAAGTTTGTTTATTTTCAGGTAACATAGTCATTTAAATACTAAGCCAGCAGTCAAAATCATCCTTCTAATAGATAGTAGTTCTTGGTAGCCTCAGCAATCTGCTGCTCCTTGCCAGGTATGGCTCTGCTGGCTGCAGGCAGGCACCAGCTCACAGAGGGTAAATTCACAAAGAAACATGAATGGATGGCAACAGAAATGGTATTGTAACAGTGAGAATCAGCAGTTTTGAACAGTAAGCTTTGGAAGATACTGTATTGAGACAAAACTGGAAAAACAACGTGAATTTGATGCTTGGAAAGTGTGGACACTGCCGGTGAATTCTGTTGTCCTCCAGCAGAAGTCACTGGAATTAATGAGCCACTGTCACAAAGTTCAGAACTAGATGAAGTCCTGAGTGAAGAAATGTCTGAGAAATACGTGACAGCTGTTAAGGAGAAATGGTGCCGTAAGCAAACCAGTATGAAATGACTTCCCCCAGCCTAGTCGTCTGAAATTAGTAATGGACAGAAGACTTAACAGCTTTTAGCAGTAACAGTAACAGAAAGGAAAATTCTCTCAACACTGTACTAGAAGAAAATACCCCATAACTTTCTGCGATTGCAAATAAACACAATATACTGCTTTTTTACATACCTTACGATTTTCAGACTAGAAAGTAGGTTCTGATATTCAGAATTCATGAAACTACTCATGCTAAAAACTAGTAATAAAAAGTATGTAATTCAAGGAAAATATTCTTATTTTAAGCCTTATATAACATTGTAACTAGCTTACATCTCTCCTTGGAATTGGGTCAAAACACTTAAAGTGACTTTCCTATCACAATAGCTAGGAAGGTACATACCTGTAATCCCAGCACTCAGGAGGCTGAGGCAAGAGGATCATACTAAGTTTGAGACCAGCCTGGGCTATAAACTGAGCTCAAGGCCAGCTTGAACTGCATAGTGAGATCCTGTCTCAAAAAGACAAAAAAGAAAAGAAGTAGCTAGGAGTGGAACCAAGTGTTAGTTGTACAGTTAATACTAATCTAATGATGAAGAACAATATGAATTTTTAAGTATTTGGTGTTATACAGTGAAGCAACAACTTTGTAACACAATAAGAAACAAAGTATTCAACTTCCTTTAAAAAAAAAACAAACTTGGTGTGGTGGCATATGCCTTTAATTCTAGCACTTGGGAGGCTGAGGCAAGAGGATTGCAATTTTTGGGTTTTTTTTTTTTGTTGTTGTTGTTGTTGTTTTTATGAGACAGGGTCTCGCTATGCAGTTCAGGCTGGCCTTGAGCTCACTTTGTAGCCCAGGCTGGTCTGAACTCACAACAATCCTCCTGCCTCAGCCTCCCGAGTGCTGGGATTACAGGCGTGAGCCACCACACCCGGCCAACAAATCCGTTGTTTAACATACCAGTCTTAAATGATCTTTCTCTCAAAAGGATCACTGTCAAGGAAATAATTTGCCTTTTTTCTTTTTAATATGAAACTAGTGCTTTATGACTAAAACATTTTATCAGTTATAGTCCTATTTGATTGATAATTACTACAACTAGTTAGCATTTTCATATTCTTTATTTTACTAGTACTCCACTTCTGTGGCTGTACACATCTTCCAGTTTCTCATCCTTTCAAAATTGCCAGAAAGTCCTTAAATTAGAGTGTGGCTTACTCTGCTTTCATTTGACTTTCCCCCTTAAATGGAAAGTAGTGATTGTACAAGAAACAACGTTTTAGATTTTTCATAATATATTTTATCTTTAAGGAACTTTTATTAAACTACATGTATAATGTAATTTAAATTAAAATTTATTTCCTTCAGGAGGCAACCTTTTTATAAAATTTGTTTTACTTGTAAAAGTTTTAAGAGTCAGTCATGAAGCATAAAATTTGTCTTCATTTAAGTCATATGATTTATTTGAAAGTTAAGGACTTTCAAATAAACCATAATATTAGAGTTATCTAAAATTAGAGGCTTTCTAAACCTGCCCAGATATGCTCTGCCCTATTCCTAAATAAAGTCAAAGGGAAAATAAAAACTTAGATAAGAGCTGTGACCCTATTGCACATGTGCTGCAACAGGCTGTTTGTATCATTGAAAGTTCTAAAAGATTCACCATCACTGGCTTAGTTTAATCTAAGCCATAAAGGAGGAAAAATAAAATATTACATTTTGTCCTCTATTTGATAAAGTTAATATAAAAATTTTCAAAAAATCACAAGTTCCTTCAATTCATAAGCATGATGATTGAGTGTTCAAGCCATATGCATAAACTGTGCCTCCCTTAAACCTTGTTACAATGTTGGCACATTACCCACCTGACAGAAAAAAAATCACAAGGAGTATCAGGTGTTTTACTTCAAATAATGTCAGCCAAGTAGAACTACTACTCACTTCCAGTAAAGTGAGAGATGAAATTTACAAATTTTGAGATACACAAAAAAGATTAAGATGACTTTTTTCCTACAAGCAGAACCATCACCTATTATTCCTATTTTTTGTTTGTTTAAATTGTTCTGTGATTTTAGAAACAGTTATAAAAAGTTTTATTGAGGGGCTGGGGCTTTAGCTCAGCAGCATAAGCACCTGCCTTGCAAGCAGGCAGTCGTGAGTTCGATCCCCAGTATTGATTAAAACAAAAAGTTTTAACTATTTAGTTAAACTATTTAGTTTAACCTAAATTATGACTTCCTTTTGTCTTCCTTACCCACCTACTTAGAATCTGAATTTTTAACTGTATTTAGAAATATTTCATAGGACAATTTTTAGTGTGTTTGTTTTGCTTGTATTAGATTCAGAATTTGTTGGTGAGATTTTGTTCTTTGGGGGACTATTTTTATTTTTTAAACTATTATTTTTAAGTTTGTAGAGTAGAATACCTCAACAAAAATGAAGCTTCTAAATCTTAAATTTCCCATTGACTTCCTTAGGTTGAAATATAGATTCTGCTAGATATAGTCATGATGCAAAAGAATATTACAAGTCACTTGAAAGAAATGTATTAAAACACTGAAAATAATCTTAAGACCATAAAATACTTAAACTATAAGCAACAATGGTGAGACTGTTTGTATACAGAGTCTACCCTGAAAAATGTACATATACTTCAGGAAAAGAAAAATTTCTGTAACTACTTTAACACTAAATTATTGAGATCTCATGAAATGAAGTTATCTTAGGCCTCTGCAATTGCAAGAGGTGCTCAAAGTGGTGACTTTAGCTTCTAGACATTTATTGGTATGGCAAACTGCTACTTGGGTAACGTTGGCCACTAAGAGTGCTGCACAGGCATTTTCCCTTTTTCCCTAAGGGCTAGCAGTGTAATGGATTTTCTGTGATACATAACATCCTCTAGGGTGCCCCAAACAAGGGTGGCACCATCTGTTTAAAAACACATCATCTTGTTTTTCTTTTTCTGAAGTGTATATACTTTTTTTTCTTTGTCAGATTCAATTTCCACAGTCTCTCTTAACATGGTAACTTCCTACGACTATTTTCTAGAAGTTTTACTCTCCAAGGTCTTAGCAATTTCACTTTTTTTGGTACCAAACTCTAATCCTTTTAACTAGAAGATAATAGTTCTTTTGTAGTGTGTTGATCTTTTGGCTCAGCAATACCTTGGTTAATTGTTAAAACTAATCCTTGACTAGAAAGACTTTGTATGACTATCTGCAGTCCAGTAGCTGTGTGCAGAGTGGGAAAATAAGTTTTAATGTTTAAAAATTGTTTAGGTGCTGGGCTGGGAATTTAGTTCAGAGGCATAAGCAGCTGCCTGGCAAGCATGAGGTCATGAGTTCAACCCCTAGTACCAAAAAAAAATTTTTTTTGTTTAGGTCTTGTCATCCTAGGCTTGCAAGTCAGCACTTAGTGCTTTCCACTTCCACATTTTATGGTTGTGTGACCTTGGGTAAGATACTTGACCAGTGTATACCCCACCCTACTCATTTATAAAATGAAAATAAGTAGCACAGAGTTATTATGAGAATAAAGGAAAGCATGTATCTATCCAGTGTTCATTGAGACACCTGGCATGTGTTAACCACTCACAGTTACTGCTGTTATCACCATGAAAATCTTAGGATTCCGCCAGCAAGTCACTAGCAGTCTGTTGTGTATTGGGATATGCTGACATTCTCTAGCAACCAGTTGGAGTCTAATGGCATCAAAACAGGGATAGGTTATTCCTAGATTAGTATATTCATATAAATGATCCCTTGGAGGCTCATCAGAAGTAGCTGTTAAAATGTTATGGCTGACTGAATTCTGATAGTTGTCAGTTATTAACCAACCTCCAGAAATTAACTGTAGCATATATAATAGACACTGGCCTTCAGTTATATGTGGAAGATATAGACGAGATGGTAGATGAAAGATAATGCCATGAAGCTCCCAAATTCACTAAGCTAGAGAAGTATGATACCCAAAAGAAACTTTGTGGTTTAAATAATTCCTTATGTAGAAAATTCTGTGCAGTGGCATGTGCCTAGATTGACTTTTTGGTAGTTGGATAGGAGAGTTTAACTGGAAAATGGAAGGTATAATATACACAAATCATTTAGAGCCCTAATTTGTCTTTTATAAAATGAAGAACATTTATGCTTCTTCCTTCCTGATAGTGGCATTATAATAATATAAGAGCTAAAAATGAGAGAAGAGTATTCTGTAATTTGGCATTACTGTTGTACAGTTCGTTAGAATTTTTATTCATTATGGAACAGTTTGCTAATGGATCTGAACCATAATGCATAAAATTCAGCTGGGAAATTATCTTCAGATTTGGTATTTCATTGATACAGCTGAACCTTGTGTGTGTGTGTGTGTGTGTGTGTGTGTGTGTGTGCGCGCACGCGCGCTTCTATGAGTCTCAGCCATTTGGAGTTTAAACTTCTGGTGATGTTTTAGATTTATAATATAAAACTACTCACCTTTCAGTGAGGTTCAAATGAGGCTTTTGTAAGTTGAGATAACTCTTTTAAAATTAGCTCTTGTCCTCCCTCTACAGGAGAATTTGCAGCCTTCAAGTAGCCACACCATCATGGCAGCATCTACTCTTTATTTCTTAACTCTTGTGTTCGTACAGTTCGTTAACATCAAAACACAGTTCTGTTCCTCAAATCTTTTTTTAAAGATACAAAATTTTCAATGCATAAGCTGGTATGGAACAGAATGGAATTTCCTATCCATCAAAAGAGGGAAGAATATTTTAGGAACCAGAATTCTCTGCTGCCAGTGTTTCTTCTTCAACACAAATACCACGTGCATACAAGTCTGCCCACTCCCAGGAAGAAAGAGGAGAGAGAGACCCTGAATTCTGACCTTTTGATGGTCAGGCATGATGGAAAGAAACTGCTGATACAGCTTGGGAAATTTGCTATGGAAAGTCTGCCAGTCAACTTTGTTCTTCTAACCACCAGATCAATTTGTGGCTGATCATCTGATGGGGCAGTTTCAATCACCAAGCACCGTTCTCTTTGCTGTTCTGGGATGTTGTTTGTGGAGCTCTTTCCCCTAGCCGCCACCAGTTAATTTCTGAGGGATGGAACCAAAATGCAGCATACCCTTTCTGCGTGGCACATGGTTAGTCCTTGACAGATTTTCTCACAGTAAAGTTCTCTTTTTGGAAAAGGAGGGTGAGGGATGAGGAGCACGTGAGACAGAGGGCGAGGGAATGCTGCATCTTCTTCCTGACCTCCCTGGTCTCTGGCCTCTGGTTGCCTTGTTCCCTGGGCTCTGCCTAACCATGCAGGCTGGACAGTACTGGCACACATCGCCTTCTTTTCTCATTGGGTCCAGCAATGAAGATGAGGTCTGGGGACTCATTTCATCCACTACATAGCGGATTCTCAGGAAAATACAGTCTAAGTCTTCTCTGAGTTCTTCCAGTCACCAAATACTTACATGGCTACTTGTCCAGGGCACAAAAGGCCATGGATGGTATCTGATTACAAGCCTACAAAACTGCTTAATAATAGTTTCAAATGTGAGGAAATTATGTAATTTAAATGAAAGGTACAAGTTTTCATTTTCTGAGTTTCTTCTATTGTATTTTTATTCAAAGGAAAATAATTTTCAGATTGAATTGAATTGGAATACAACAATACTTCCCACCAGAATTATATATCCTTAAAATTCTATTTTTGTTACATAATCAACTTTTAAAGAAAGATCATTACCCTTTTCTCTACGTAAATATGGGGAGTCTTAGCATAATGACAAATATTTATAATTTTTAAATTAATGGTACTTGCTGGATCCATACTAACATTTTGCTAATAATCTCATTGTTTCTTCCAACTTATTCCTACACTACATTCTAAATCCTCTTTCTAGTCTTTTATCTAGAATGTGCAACCTAAAATAAAAACGGTGGTATCTCCATTCATTTTCTTCCTTTTTCCCAAGCCTGGTCTTCAAAAGGTTGGGTATTGGCAGCTAAGTTGGCACCTGGCAGCAGGTAGAGAACAGAAATGGTAGGGATATTGGGACTGAGGGAAGGCATGTGAAAGCCTACCGTCGGTTCTTTTTGTAGAAAGCTGCTGTTGTATGAGAAGCTAAATCCATCCCATCTTCATACAAATGGAAAATAGAACTTTGTTATAGCTTCCCTTGGCCTTTATTATAGGGTATCATAAATCACAGTAATAGCAAAGAAAGTCACCAAATGTACTAATGGCAAATGTTTCCCTTATGAGGAGTCTAGAATCATTCATTGGGTTTTAGGAATGGGAATCAAATGAGATGATCTTAGCCTAACTTAGCCACAGCCAAGGACCTAAAAGAAAGTCAGCAAGACCTAAAATAAATCAGGGGGTAAGAAATTCTTACTTAAATGTCTGAAATTCTAACTCCTGGCCCCACTATCTTAGCCTATTTGCTACTTACTCACTGCCTTTAGTTGATTTTTGCTAATATACCTGTCATCAGATTACAGCCTGGTGAAAATTGTGGTTTTAGCTCTTACATGAACATAGCCATGTCTTACAAAATTTAGAAAATGGGAATGATTTGTGCTCATATGAATACTGTCTCTATGCATATTATGCTGCCTCTTTTGGAAAAGCATTGGTCAATTGTTCTTTTTTAAAATGGCTGTGTAGATGCTTGTAAACATGACTGAGTTCCCTTCACCAAGATGGAGTCAGGTCTCACACCCAGCTGGAAAAAGCTGGGTTTGACTGTAGCACAGGTTCAGATCCAGCTGAGGAAGAACCTGGGGTTCGGGCCTTAGTGCAGGGCTACCTACACCTAAGGCTGAAGATTAGCTTTGGAGTTTTCTAAACAAATTCAGATGATAGTTTTTTCTTGCTTTCATTTTAGAATAGGT